CGAAATTTCACCTTTAGCTCTGTAGATAATTTAAGGCGATTGACCTTAATTTTTAGGGTTTCGGTTCAACTGTAACCATAAAACATTGGCAAAAAAATATTTTAAAAAAATAAGGAAAGGAAAGAAATTCTGTTTCGTATCTCATGTTGTTAATTAATGTTACTGATTCTAAACAAAGAAAATTACGGATTAAATTATTTTTTTTAATTATTTTAAATATATGGGAACCGGTAATGTATATGAGAGGCGCTGTGGTTGTTTTTGTAGTTGGAATAGTGAGTGGTTATTGTGAAACGCTGATGGTTTTCTTCTTCTTGTTAAAATATTTTCTTCTTATTTTATTTTATTTATATATTAACTTGTTTCTGACCGGTAACTTTGATGTAGAAGGACTTGAGTAATGGGAAAGAGGAAGTCAAGGGCGAAGCCTCCACCAAAGAAGCGGATGGATAAGCTTGATACTGTCTTCAGTTGTCCCTTCTGTAACCATGGCACCAGTGTTGAATGCCGCATGTAAGAGTTCATTCAAATTTTTAAGTTTGTTTCCTGAGTATTATTTTTATTGGAACTTATAAACAGCTTCAAAAAATTTGAGCCCCTGGGATCTCCATGTGGTAATTTGGATTCATTAAGTGTAAATCCAATTAATATCAATTGATATGATAGGGGTGTAGTTTTCAAATTTGCGTACTGACTTTTAGTGTTTTTGTGATTTCAGCGATATGAAGAACTTAATAGGTGAAGCTGTATGCTTGATATGCCAAGAGAGCTTCAGCACCACTATCACAGGTAATTGGAATATTCTTGAACGAACTTGATCAAATTTTGGAGGGAGCTTAAATCTTTTGTGCTTCTTTTTAATTAATCTTATAAAGTGGTCGAGGGAAAATAGAAAGTGAAGCTCAAGAATTTTTAAAGGCTGAAGTTCAAGTTATTTCATTTAAGTTGTTAAATTAACTTTGTGTTGATGGATGATTGATTTTTCTTCCTCTCTGGTTGCAGCTTTAACCGAACCAATCGACATGTAAGTTTAAGTAATCTGGAATTGTCACTGTCATTTGTGTGTGTGTGTATGTATATATATATATATATTTTTTTTTTTTTTTTTATTTTTTTTTTATTTTGCTTACATGGAGTTTGTGATTGCAGATACAGCGAATGGATCGATGAATGTGAACGGGTGAACAACCTTGATGATGATGGTGCTTAGGAGGGAGAAGATAATGTCTAGAAAACCAAATGGGTGTTTGAATGGAATAGGTTTTCTTGAATATATTACTATGATAGCCGATGGGGCTTGTGGTTGTGGCACCATTTATGGCTTTTAGTAGCGAGTGTTATGTAGCAAACTGAGAAGTTGTGTAATTGAATGTGAGTAATGGAGTTTGGCAATAATGGCTGTTGTAAGTGTTGAAGCTTGTTCATGAATTTTAGAAGATGCAATATATATATATAAAGCTGAATACCCATGTGGGTTGGTCCAACCAGATAGACGTAATCATATGTATTTGTTTAAATAATGGTCTCACACTTCGTTCGAGTTGAATGAGAGGGTTGAAGAATGTTAAATAAAGGTATTAATGGTAAGGCTGTTATAACTATCTAGCTCCTTGGCCCTACCTCTCCTACTTGCGAATACAAGGCCGCCTTTACTACTGTTTTAAAACTCGGACCGGAGGTTAACCCGTTTTATTGCTTGGGTCACGAGTCAATTGGTCCAATTGGTTGGATTGGTGACATCATCGTATCCTTTAATATAATATGTTTAAATAATTATTGTTATATTTACCATTGGACCCAATTATTTTCATTCAACCCAATTATTTCCATTGATGATTGAACCCAAAAATTAAATCCGAAACCCAAGTCCTATACCCTTCAATATCCATCAATCCATGATACAAATACAAATACAATATATAAATAAAAGAACTTTCTTTATTATAACAATTCCACCAACAAGGGGAGTTAACTTCAGAATTAATGAACGAGCCAAACATTTGTCTCTCACCCACTCTTCCAAGTTCCACCTCACAAAAATTTCACCCACAAGCAGAATTAATGACAACCACACCAGAGTGCAGACCAACGTCCAAAAATTTCACCCAACAAGCAAGCTTTCCATTATTTAATTAACCGACTCTTATTTCCCTTCTCAAAACACATACAACTAACAAAACTTCCAAGCATTTTTGAGATAACAAAACTCAACTCAGCCGAAACATGCAAAATCCAGAAAAATGGAGTTGTCGTCGATTTCTAGATCACACTAAGCATTTTTTACAGTGGAAATACCTTTACAAAGCTTAAACGAGGGAGAACGGCGTTGTTGTTGTTGATTTCGAGCAAGGGAGGCGTCATTGTCGTCGATTTCCAGTGAGGGAGAGAGGCGTTGTCGTCATCGAGCAAGGGAGGTGTCGTCGTCGTCGATTTCCAGTGAGGGAGGTGCTGTCGTCGTCGATTTCTAGCGAGGGAGGGAGACGTCGTCGTCGTCGATTGAGATTGAGATTGAGATTGAGACAGTGGTTGCGATTTCAAACTTGAGAGAGTGGAGTTGATTGAGATTGGGTTGCAATTTCTAAGAGGGCTCAAAGTGGCTACGATTTAGAGAGTGGCTGTGTGTGATTGCCTTTGGTGTTTTGCATAGAAAAAATTAAAAAGTATAGAGTTAGGGTTTTTTTTTTTCGTTTTTCGTTTGAAACAGTGAACCGGTTAACCTAGCAGGTCGATTGGACCGGATGGGTGGCACTGTTCATCCGATTCAATGACGGGTTAACACGGTTGTTTGATTATAACCGGGTTTTATATTGGCTCGGACCGGACATAAGATCAGGTTCGGTCGAACCGGTTGACCCGATCGGTCCAATCTAGGTTTTAAAACAGAGACCCTTACACGATCATGTGGCGCATTTTGGAAGCTCTAGAATTGTCCATTTTGGCACATTGGATTGACAAGTCAATCAAATTGTTATATCTTGACACATTGGATTGGTATTTATTGCTCCATCTATAATTATTAATTAATTAAAAAAATAGGATATGTATTAATAATAATAATAAAATATAGGTGCATTGTATTGACATTCCAAAGATGTGCATTAATAACAAGTATACAGGTGTATTAGATTGCTATTACTAATTGTGGTTTAATGACATTTGCCTAAGATTGCTATCTATAATTATATATGTGCATTGTATTGACATTGGAAAACTTTCTTCATATTGAAATTGTATTTAATTGCGTTGGTATTCAAAAGGTCTAAATAAGAGGTTATAAAAGGGGCTCATGTTCAGTTGTGTATCATCGCAATTTGTTAGTTGGTGTCAACAATACGTCTGGTCTTTTGTTAATTGTTTATATGTTATTTTAGTTTGTGAAAATAATATGTTTGTTCTTCATGTGCATTTTGATCGATGGTTTTTTATTTATGTATGTTTTTGTTATTTACAGGTCAAAGATTCATGAATTGGCATGGAATAAAGGCTGGATGTCCGATTGACACTGTCAGATGAGTTGTTATTTTGATTTGTTCTTCTGAATTGTAAGTATATCTTCTAACTATTTTAATGCGAAATTGTAAGTATGTCTCCCAACTATTTTAACGGTTATTGTCAGATTGAATGCTTGTTTTTGTTCGGCCAATTTATTTGAATGATTGATTATGTTATTCCTTTCGAATGGTAAGTGTGTTCCTTGATAATTTTAATATGAAAATTAATTAACTTTTGTTGTTTTCGTTTTTAGGTCCCAGTTTTTATATGAATGGATAATTGTTCCTTAACAATGTTAACATGAAGATCAATTTCATTTTGTTATGTTTGTTTTCAAGGAAATGAGGATTTGTGTTTATTATTTTTTTGGTAGAGTCATTGATTTGATGCGTCTCTTCTGTAGATCGATCGGCATAAAATGTGGATTCGTTGATTTTGTCGATTTCCTTTTTCAGGTTACAAGGAAAAGAGTTGACGTGTTCATACAATAGCCAGCGTGTTCTGTGCCAAGTTGTGTTTATTAAATCTTCGGTACGGTCATTGATTTAGTATGTCTGTGGTTGCAATCGATTAGCGTGAATTATATGCTCACTAATGTTTGTTGATTTTATTTTCAGCTTACAGTTTTGGCTAAACAGTGATTATCTGTTGTTGGTATGTTCATATGAGGGGCAATTAGTTTTTCCCTGTATTGTTGACGTTGAGTAACATTAAACATTCATGGTTTGTATTTTGTCTAAAGATTAAGCATTGTTTTTTCGGCCATACTATATGTTTGTTTCGGTCGATATGTAAGCATATGTTTTGGGACTGAGCTATTGAAACATTTATGGATTGTTTTATGTTAACAAGACTCATGTGAGTATTGTTTTATGTTAACAAGACTCGTCTGAGTATTGTTTTTGCTAACTCTGTTCTCAGGTGACACGATCGGCCCTCAACTATAATCGAATTGTGTTGCACGGTGCATTGTTGTCACAGGGTAGCAAAATCCGATAGTAGTTGAGGTTTGATTTTGTGATTTATGAATGAAATGTTATTGTATCGGATTTGGTCATTGTGGATGTCAACGTTTCGTGCTGTGGGGGTGTCATGGTTAGTATCCCGACATGATGGTGATGGTGATTCAAAGATTTGGTTATTCCAGGTTCAGTGTTGCTAGATTATGATAGTTGTTATTGTGCAAGTTATTTTACCTGCATGAACATTTGTGGTTTGACGTTACATGGTTGTAGTTAATACACGGTGATTTTGATGTATTCAACTATATGTGTCCCAATCATCTATGTATCTATTAATACTTAGGCAATTTATCAAATGTGTGCTTTCTGGATCATAATATCTAATGCCAATGAATTACAACAAACAAATTGGCAAGCAAATCATGCCGCCCAATTATGGATGACGATTTTTTACTTCTTTTGTCAGTATGTGTGCATTGCATTGGCATCTGGAAGGTCTAACCGTCTTGACGTTCTTATAATGTTTTCTAAGTTGTAGGTTTAACAAAATATTTACTATCCTTTCCTTTGGACTTGCACCAATGAAATATTCCTAAAGTGACCAATATAGGAACATATAGGATTGTATTAAGGCATCCAAATTCCGATCAAATTCATGGTTTGGCAGTGTTCCTAGAAAAGTTATAACAACTTATAAACACAACCAATCATATCCTGATAATGGTTCAGCAATGGAATGTAGACCTTAATGATACCTTATGGATAAATTGTGGATTGGTATCTACTCTATTACCATTCTATAGCCAAATTGATGGTTTGACGGTGAAGTTATCAACCGTAGCAAACTTTGAACAATCATATTTTTGGACAATGGTTAGGCAACGAATTCCACACTATTTGTTAGACAATTTTTTAAAGATGTCGAATTACAATATCAATAAAAAATTAAGTGGCTTAACATCTCTCTAAGTTAGTATCAGGCAAGTTGCCTAATACTTGGTCTGACTATAAAAAATAACTTGGGACTGACTAATATAGGAACATATGAAATTGTTTATCTTTCGAATATATCAAGCTATCCAAATTTCGGCCATCCTTAGATCATGGATAAGTAGTCAAATTTATGGTTTAACAGTGTTCCCAGAAAAGTTATAACAAATTATAAATGCAATTAATTACATCTTGGTTATGGTTTCGCAATGGCATGTAGACCTCGATGATACCTTGATTTGTCCAAATTCCAAGCATTCTTAAATCATGATATCACAATTGGTATTTGCCTTATTACCATTCTATAGCCAAATTGATGGTTTGACAGTAAAGTTATCGATTACAGCAGGCTTTGAACAATCATAATTATGGACAATGGTTAGGCAACAAATTCCATACAATATATAGAAAGTTGAATACCCATGCGGGTTGTTCACCATGTGACACATTTTGGAAGCTCTAGAATTGCTCTATTTTGACACATTGGATTGACAAGCTAATCAAATTGCTCTACCTTGACATGTTGGATGGGTATTTATTGCTCCATATATATATAAAGTTGAATACCCATGTGGGTTGTTTGCCATGTGGCACATTTTGGAAGCTCTAGAATTGCTCTATTTTGACACATTGGATTGACTAGCCAATCAAATTGCTCTATCTTGACACGTTGGATTGGTATTTATTGTTCCATCTATAATTATTAATTAATTAAAAAAATGGGATCTGTATTAATAATAATAATAATAATAATAATAATAATAATAATAATAATAATAATAATAATACAAGTGCATTGCATTGGCATTCCAAAGATGTGCATTAATAACAAGTATACATGTGTATTGGATTACTATTACTAATTGTGGTTTAATGACATTTGTATAGGATTGCTATCTGTAATTATATAGGTGCATTGTATTGACATTGGAAAACTTTCTTCGTATTTGTAATGCCCACATCGAGGTACGTAGCTTTACTTATGCCCTAATACCCTTAGTTGAATTTTGTTAAAGTTATCTTGAACAGGTGTGAAGAAAATTCCCTAAAATTT